GTATCACATAGTTTCGGCAATAGGAAAAAAGACAGCTGAAACTAACGCTATTCTAATTATTACATGGTTTTAGACGTTCCAAATAGTTTGGGTTACATCTATAATTCCGACGTACGGTAGATATATTGAAAAGTTTCTACAAATTAATACTTGTAAACCTTTTATAATAAATAAAAAAGAATTTAAAAACTATTATTTAATAACAACTAATGAAAACAAAAAGAAAATATACAACCAAAACAATTAAAATGACAACAAAAGTTTGTCAAATTGGTTCAATATCATTTAAATTTGCTGTTAAATATATTAAACCTGTTGTTAAATAGCTAATTGTTGAGGAGCCCAATTGGTGTTTTTTTAATAAAAACTTTGTAAAATAGCACAAATATGTTGTAGCTATATATCCTCAATCGGTTAACCGAACCGAATTATTTTATGTTAATAAATATCTACTTCTCGGAGCTTCACTCAAATTTTGTTTCAGCCTTGCTCATCTCTTATGTTCATTCAGTTTCTCTTCGGACCTTTTTGGAATCTTTGCTCTCTCTTGATCATTTACATACTTTATGCTCAACCAGTTATCCGAAATTTATTCAGGTTGAGTCGGCTAACCGATTATGGCCAACCGGTTCAAATCAATACAATATAATTGAACTGTCAAAATTTTGCTTATGCCAAAAGATGTAAATTTAATTTCATATCGATATATTTGAGTGACAATCAGTGAAAACCTGTAAATAGATTCATTGTATTAGACTTGACCTTTGGACTGTCACTCATTTTATAAATAAATAACCTAAAAAAAATCCGAAATTAATGATCTTCAAACTAATACTGTTTTTGATTTTTACGTGATTACCTTGTATCTCTATTACCGTATAATATGAAAATACCAGTTGAGTCATTTTGACCCAGGTAATTTTTACGTAATAAAAATGATTACCTTGCCTATCTCTAGTATATACTCCCAGTTGGGCCATTCTGACCCGGGTCAAAATAGAATTTCCCATAAAAAAATGAACTTTCCGAATAATTAAAAAAACCCATAAAAAATCCTCAATAATAAACAACACCCTAAAGTTACGTTCCCACTTACAAAAGCAAAAATATAATAATTACGAAGGTATGTTTAATAAGCTTAGACATTCTGAAATGCCTATTATCCCAGGAAAATATTAAAAGTTTTTCCATTCGATCAAATCAAATTTCAAGATAGAAAAATGTTTATAAAATAGAATACTCCCTAATACTAATGGTAGACTGGTTACGCTATGATGCTTCGAATTACGTAGTATACATCATGTGGAAGTCATTTTTGAGTTCCAAATTCGGGAATAATAATAACTGATATTATTTTAGTTTCGGGCAGCTCCTGTTGACTTTAACATTAATAGAAACCCTTTTTGTTGTAATTATTAAATATAGTAAGATTAGATAAATCGAATGATATGAATCGGATGATTCTGATTAGAGATGTGCCCTAGATTTATAGGAGGACATTCGTCTGACTGGCTGATGCAAATCAATTGCCCGGGTAACTTATATACTTTAAAGCACTTTTTGGGAACAACGTTTCACCAATAAGAAATCATCGCAAACCCCCATTTTTCGGTTCGATAGAATGTCTTTATTTACTATCGCTATGCAAAATAATCTGTAATAATCAGTATCTTCATGAACTTTACTTAGAAGACAATATATGCCTACCGTTTATTGGACCAGACCAAATTATACTGTATAGTGAAGGTAACTGGAAACGTTTTCGTCTAAAACTATTTTATTAGATTTAAATAAACTTTTATTTCTAACTGTTAATTTGTGTAGGTGTAAGCTCTTTAGTAGTAAAGATCCGGGCTTAATATTAAATTTGGTCGGTTATTGTAGTGTGTTTGAGTTTGTCAAACATAAATTAATAGTTAAGGTTTTGGGTTATATTTTATCGATTCTTTAATGTAATGAGTTGAGTTTATTAACAATAAATTTCACATTTACCCACTTTACACGCATCTATCTATTCTACAAATATAAACAATAAGCTTTTTTTTTGTGTATATTTATTGTTTGTAAACTTCTTTATACGAAGTTTTTTTTTCGTTTTTAGTACTGCAATATTAATGTATTTTGGATTTTTGGTCAATTATCACGGGAAATCACGGGTAGATCTACAAAAATTAACCAATCATACGAATGTCTTCCTATGACTATGAGATGTGCCCATCCCATGTGCAAGATACTAACATTTTTAATCAAGTGATCTATTCCAAATAAAATTCCTTTTTTTTTTTTGATAATCTACTGTATGTCATCGCACTAGGTTTATTAGGTTTATCGCGTGAGAGGATCGTTAGGTAACGTGATATTGCTTAATTTGTCAGACAATATCTAGAAAAGATTTACAAATTTGGATAGTCCTAAAAAATACCATACGGAAGTAAATTGTGAAAACGGTTTCCCCAATGTTTTGTTGAAATCAGTAATAAAAATTGGTCTTTTAAGAAAATCAAATCATTAAGAGAAACTGCGAATTGTTCTTAAGAAGTAAGCTTATCTAAATAGTAATGATTACTTGTGTATTTATTTCAAGACTTTAAACCTTAATAATTATTCATAATATTAACCTGACATTGTAAAATTTTATCTTATTAATTGATAATGTATGAAAACTATGTAATAAAAAAAAGCTATTAACAGAATGAGTAGAATGAATAGAATGAATAGAATGAATGAATTTCAATCGGAACAAAAAAAAACAAATAGATTTTTCAAAATAATATCAACTCTTGCAAAGTTTTTCGTATTGCAGATTATTTTGTTTTACGACTTTCAACTTCACCTCCACCTGCAATAATTCCGACGCGTAAAGATGCCATCAAATTTCTGGCAGCGTTAGAATGATCATAAACACCACCATTAAAAGATGTTGTCATATCCTTCCCTATTGAAGCTGCTATTAATGATTTACCACCAGGATGTTCATCAATAAATTCACTAACATCATGAATAATTCCCTCAATACAAATCCAATTGTTTTCTTTTGCGTTTTCCACAACTAGTTTATTTTGATTAAAGTTAGTTAAAAACGAGTGAAATTATTATTATTAATTTTTTTTTTAAAAAAAAAAATAACCTACATTGTTCAAAAGTGTAAATAGGCAATTTGTCCAATGGCACACCCCAGTTCAATTTCGCCTTCTCTCTATCTAGTTTCTTCTGTTTCATTACTATTATGCTTTTATGTATTTCGTTTTCAGGGAATTTCTTTAAATGATGTGTAACACCAAAATACGATAAGAGTTTAATTAACCATTTTGTTGGATCATATTGGTAAAATTTAACTGCATTTCGATAATCCATTGGAAATTCATGATGAAAATTATGATATCCTTCGCCCAAACTTAGGATAGCAGTGATGAAGTGGTCACGTGGGGTGTGACGATCATCAAATGGTGTGTCACCGAGGTAGTGAGCTAACGAGTTAACACAAAATGTGGCGTGATGGACGAAAACTAGACGCAATACAGCGCTAAAGAAGAAACCTCCCTGTGATATAAATGAATCACAATTTAATACTAATGCAAATAGATAAGTCTCTCACAAATTATGAAGAATTTACTTACCCACCAATCACCCCAACCGAAGCCAGCGACCATAGTGGGAAATAAAAATCCCATAAAAAGCGCGAATAACCAATATTTTCTGTGCTGAAACATAATCCAAGGGTCAGCACTTAAATCAGAAATATCAGCTCTTCCGACGCGATTGGGATTTTGTTTTAAAAACATCCAACCAATATGAGAATAAATAAGTCCTTTATTTGCGTTGTAAGGATCTGCATCAGTATCGGTCCACCGATGATGAGCTCGATGTCCATTGCACCACCATCGGATAGAGCCTTCTACAGCACCGGAGCACGCAAATATGAGAAATATTTCAAACGGGCGAGATACTTTATATGCTCGGTGAGCCCATAGTCTATGGTGACCTTTTTTTAAGAGATTCAGGTTAGTTCAGGTTAGACAAATATTTGTTATGATCCGCAGTAAATTCGCAAGTAATAAATCTGTTCTAGGTTTTGTCGATCACGATCAACCAAATTACGTGTAGTTTTTTTTCCCTGTTAAAAACTGTTAATTTTTGTTAAACCTTATTCTAATTCAATCCAATCCAATCTAATTCTAACTTTAAAATTAGTATAATGCAGGCCAATACAAATTAATCTAGGCCAAATTATCGACGAAACCTAATATGGATTTCTTACTTGCAAATAACGATAGTTGTCAAAGAAAGAGATTTATGAACCTGCTGTAATCCCTAAACCAGTTATATAATAATACATAATACTCCATATCGCAGTATTTCTTTGTATTTCAGTTGTTAAAAGACCATAAAGTGCAATCAACGGTAATGAAATGAGTAAAACAGCGTGTATCCAATCGACATGTTTATACCAATTCTTCCATGTAATCGGGTCATCGCGAATATGCCAATTTTTTGGTTTTGTTTGAGTAGTCGTTTCAACCTTGGACGGTTGTTTTGGCATAGAAAATGCCGCCATATGATTATGTAAAAGGTAGTATTATTTAAGGAAATTTAATCAAATAACTGATCAATCAAAATTTTATCAAAAAAAATTGTTTTCGAGTTAAAAAAAAAAAGGTGAAAGATAAAGATTGCAGTCAAAAAATTTCAATTGTATTTATATATATCCTGCGTTATTGGGGACTTGGGGCAACGGGCGCAGTGAGGATCAAGTTTGTAAACTAGACACTTTGAGTTGGGGATAATTAACGCATCATCCCCCAAATAGTTTGTAGTATTTAGTAATTATCATGTGTAATTATCATGTGTAAATATAAATAATATAGTTGTAGATCGTTTTGCCATATTGATACTCAAAATCAAATTTATATAAATAGGGCCCTTCCAAAAGTAGGTTTGTAAAAATTCTTTAATACATAACCAATCAAATTTACCCCAAGAAAATTTTTAAATTTCAATTGATGTGCGTATTATTCTGGAAGTTAGATAATAGTGCTATAAAATATAAATTGTAATTGTCCATTTTTTAATTTATATTGTTATATAAGCCAATGTATGTATTGTTTGTTTTTTTTTGCATTTAATTTCTTTTTCTTACATATATTCTCATTATAGTATTTTTGCTGCAAATCGAGATGAATTCCTTAATCGGCCAACTTCACTTGCTTCATGGTGGAACCCAAACATCTTAAGCGGGTTGGATTTGTTCAGACCTGTTCATGGAACATGGCTTGGTATAAACAGAACGGGAAGATTTGCCGCGGTCACCAATTACCGTGAACCTCAAACAGTTGACTCAGAACTTTTATTATCTCGTGGGGCTATAATAAGATCGATTTTGGAATCTAATTATCCATTAGAACAATGCTTGAATACTATTAAAAGTGAATCTCATATGTATGGTGGATTTAATTTAATAAGTGCAGACTTAAATGATAAACATTCGAAAATGGGATATTTGTCCAATAGAGGATTTAATGAGATTAAACATTTAAAATCCGGAGAAATTTATGGATTATCTAACTCATTACTAGATGATCCTTGGCCAAAAGTAAAGATTGGTACTAATGAATTGAAATCAATTTGTGAGAAAGAGCAGTCAGAAGAACAATTAATTGAGAGTTTATTTCAATTGCTTAGGTTTTTTTTTTAATCACAATTCATTTTATTATATTTTATGCTTAAAAAGTTTTACTTATCGTTCTTTATCATTATTTTGATAGTACCACACATCCTTGCGAAAGTTCTAATGTTAAGATGACTATTAGAATACCGAAATTCGATAACAATGGAGCTTATGGCACTCGAACAAGTACTGCGATTCTTGTGGATCATGATGATAATGTAGTGTTTGTTGAAAAAACTTGGTTTGATGAAGATGAAAATATTATTGAAGACGATGAACGCTATCGGTGGTTTAGGTTCAAAATTGGTAAAATGGATAATACTGTCTAAAGAGCAGAATATAAGCTTATGATATGAATGGCAGTTATCAAAAAAATGTAAAAATGGTTTAATGTTTTAAAAAGTTAGTTTTATACCTTATGTATTTGTAATTTTTATAGTATAGATTATCATTTGACCAAGGTTTAACACTGGTCAAATTAGGAAAATTGATATATACATGCATATATTATATGCAGTATATACTGTATTTATTATATCGATATCGATATACATTATAAAAAGGCCATTTTTGATGACTTAAGATTCCTGGACAAATTTTTGGGTGACTAACAAAAATTTTGTCAATTACAGAATTAATTAATGACATAACCTGGTTACTTCATATGTACGTATATAAAGGTTACGTCAACCCGATTTACAAAGTAAAGCGAAATTGAGCTAATGAATATAACAGATAAGTTATAGTAAAGGTGGTGGCAGATATTACATAATATGTATTTATTATACGTATACGTAAAAAAATATCCGTATATTACCGAATACGTAAAAGTAACCAAAATTGCGAATTTGGTAATCATTACAAATTATGCCAAATCTGTCTTTGGATTAGAGATTTGGAGCCGGTTTTATTTTCATATGTTAAAAAACCGGTTTTGGCATATTAAAAATGAAATTTTTACTTTAGATATTATTTAGTTGTGTTATATTTTTTCTTTATAAAGTTGGTTTCATACTAAGTTTATGATCACATTATATATTTTACAAATTACAATTGAATCACATGAGCCTAAATTTTTGTTTTTTTTTTAGCATAACGGAAATCCTGAAAGAAGTCTGGGACGGTTTTTTTTTTTTTTGTGAACCCCAAAATGCTGTGCTTCAATAACTTAATCGATCAGTACAAATAAAGTAAAATTGAGATCTTTAGTATGACAGAACTACCCCAAGAACACCTCCAAAATCATGTGATATGATCTACCCGTGTAACCTGCATGCATGCATTGTATTTCGTCGAAAATATTCACAACACTTTAAAAAATTATCGTTATGTGATTCTTATTAGGGATTGGAACCGCCTTACCGTATTCTACCGTAAATAAGCACCACACCCTCTAGCCCATTTTTTTAAATGTCAGATTAACGGACATTGCAATGAGATCTTTAGCCAAGTTATTTCCGCTAATCTAGCATTTAAAAAAATGGGGTAGAGGGTGTGGTGCTTATTTACGGTAGAATACGGTAATCGTTTAACTGTTAATTTGGCCGGCATTAAAATAATTCCGGTCCACGATCAACATAATTCTGCCTGGAACAATGGAGAAATTTGTAAACGGTTAAACGATTCCAATCCCTAATTCTTATGCGTCTTAATCTAATAAAATTTATTAGTTTTAAAGATAATTTCTGATGCAAAAAACTTTTTTATGAAAGTTATAGCTTGAATACATAAGACTGACCTAAAAGTATCAAATAGTTACATAGCACTCTTAAATTAAAGGTTTAAATAATGAATCCGTGTTGATAAATAATGTAAATATATTATCTACTAGTTGTGATGTAGCAAACTACACATCTTTTTTATGAGGTTAAAATGAATAAAGTATGTTGAGCTTTTCAAATTCTTATTTTTAAATGCATATTTTAAAATTTTTAAATTGTGAGTCTAATTTTTTTAATTCATAATTTTTGACATTTAATGCTAATTTATTTTTAGTATTTTTTCAAATAATTTAATTGTATTTTTAATAAACTTAGAATTTAAAAGATAATTATAAAAAAATTATATTAAAAATATATAACATAATTTTAATGTTTTTTTTTAATATTAAGGTGATTTTTTTGATTTTTTGACTTTATTATCATTTTTTAAATAATGAGTTTATATAGAACTTTTACAAAAAAAGCATACAACTAGTTGCATAAGCAACTTTTTTATATTACCTATTTAAGAAGTTTACTCAAAGGTTCCTTATCAATTGCTATATCTAACATTACTACTTGAATATTCTATTTTAAATCTTCTAATTTTGCATTTCTAGTATTAACTTTATTAAATTACAAAAGTATTCTCTTATGTTCAAAATTTTGCTTCAATTTTAGAATTAATTTATCTTTGAGTTAAACCTTTTAAAGTCTTCTGTATTTCTATTTATAGTTGCTTCAGTATTATTATAGTTAAAACTAATACTTATAGTTAAGATTAACTATTAAATTGCTATATTTTTATAAAGTTAAGTATTTCTTTTTATAATCTTATTAGTGTCTTATCTACTCTTGCAAGTCTTTCTATACTATTAATTTATTTTAATATTTTTTTTAATTATAATTAAATTTAAAAATATTTGTAATGTTTAAATAAAATTAATTATAATAAGTAAAAGTTAGATTTAAAAATTAATAACAATTCTTAATAATTAATAAAAGTTTGTTTTTATATATAAATATACTTAATCTTTAGAAATTTAAATAAAATAAAATAAATAATTAAATAATTTTTTTATAATATCAAATTATAATTTATATTTTATTAGCTTGTTGAATTATTATTATATATAGTTACATTATATTTATACTACTAAATTACTATTTAGAAGTATAAGGACTTAGTAAAGTAGATAAGTTATCAATCTTTTAAGTAGTAAGTTAGATATTCAAATCTTATTAATAGTAAAAATTTGAATAATTATCTATATAATACTTATATATAGCAACTGTTTCTAACAATTGTATTAAGATATCTGTAATAGTAGTTATATCAATATGATCAACAAGTTATAAGGCATTTGTTTTTTTTGTTTTTTTTTTAATATTAACAGTAAGACCATGTCTCTATTTTTATTAAAATTCAGTTAAACTTTTTACAAGTAGAATATATAAAAAAAAATTATATTTGAATTCTATATCTATAAGATTAGAGACTCAAACAAGTTATCTGTAATCTAAGCCTACCAGAGTAATCAAGGTTCATCTAGATTTCAGAGTTTGTAATTATAATAAGAAGGTTTATTTAGTATTTGATCCATTTAGAGTATTATATTTTAAATTTAGGACTAGTAATTAAGTGTAATATGTGTTGTATTAGTAAGTTTTAAGAAGTATGAGATGTTGAAGTTAGTTGAAGTTGTCTGCTAGGTTGAGGCTAGAAGCACTATATGGTATCCAGATATGTGTATAAATTTGTTAATTAAGATGAAGCAGAAGTTTAATTAAAAGTGTAGTAGCAGTTTTATTAGATAGAGTAATGTCTTTAATTGAATCAATTAATTTATAAAGAATTAGACCAGACAGTATTGATGTCAGAGAAAATGAATTTGGTATATTGTAGTTTTGCATACAGTTAAGATTTTTAATTTGGATATGCAGATCAGATACAGTTTTTAGTATTATGTTAAGAATAGATATAGTAAGAACATGTTTAAGTGAGTCATTGATAAGATTATTAAGAAGATATGAAGATGAACAGGTAGTCTAATGAAATGAAGTGCTAATTTGGTTATATTGATGATAGTTAGAAAATTAGATATGATTATGTTTGTATAAATTATGTGAAGTTGGAAGGTCATTTATAAGGATTTTTATACAGAAAAACTTATGTTGAAATGTTTAAAAGCTATGAGAATAGTTTGTTATTTTTTGATTATTGTTGATATAAAGCCAGGTGGCTTTCCAGTTAGTTTGAATTACAATTTGTAATCATTTTTAAAAATAATATTGGGATGATCATAGTATATAAATATGAGCATAGTAAATTGTATGAATACAATAATGGATAGGTAGTTCAATAGGGTAGTTATCAAGTTGTAGTATATAGTTAGAATTATAATAATTTTGTGAATTAAATAGTAGGTATAGAAGGTTAAGATGATTATGAGCAAGAGTGTTAGTAAGGTTATTAAATTTATTATTCTGATATGCAACTACTTTATGCAAAATAAGTTGTATATTATAAGAGTTTATAAAGTTAATTAGAGTATACCAAAGTGAATAATATAGAGTATTGATGAATAATAATTTAAGTGATATTAAATTGGTATTGTTGTATTTAGATATAGTGAATTGTGAGATAGTGTAGATGTGTATTGTACAATTTCTGAGTGCAGTGATAATAGCAGAAAAAATTGCAATAATTTTTGCTTTAAAGGAGCATGACTAAAACTTAGTTTGTGCTTGAAAGATATGTAAGATGTTGTTTTGTATCAAGGCCCATCCAATTCCTATTGAGCATTAGAATGTACCTGCCTAAATGACTGATTCATCAGTATAAAAATGAAGTTCAAACTTGTTGTAATTTGAGTTGGCAATTGACTGCAGAGTATTGATAAGATCACAGTTATTAAAAACAGATAGAATAAGTAATACAGATATATGAATATTAGTAGTATTAGAAATTTGAGTAGGATGTCAGATAGTGATAGAATAGAGCAAGTCAAGATAATTTGCATTAAAATTAAGTTGTTGATTTTGAGTATTAAATTTTTCAATAAATTTAGTTACAAGATTAATAAGAATAAATGTTGTACATTTTTTAGTGATAAGATTGGAATTAAGATTGTAGCCAGTGCATGGTTTGGTTGTAATTAAAGGTGTTGAGTATAGTTATGTAGCATAAAGCTTAATATTACTATACCAATAGGTAATAAGTATTTGTTCAGAAGAGGTTGGTTGTCTTCTGACTTTATTTATAATTATTTGATCTTAAAATGTAATGATAAGCTATAGCTTAGAAGATTTTGAGAAATGTTCTGTAGTATAGCTAAAGTGATTGATTTTTGGGAATTGGTAATGGTTGTAAAAAGTTCAATAATAGGAATGATTTGTTGTGATATCTTCAAGAGTAATAAATTATAATAGCTTTCTGTCTTTGAATATTTTATAAATTCTTGATGAAATATGTTTTCAGTCAAGGAGATAAGAATTGTCATATGTAGTAAGTTGGTCAAGAAAAAGAATATAGTGTTAGCAGAGTTGTTTTTTAAAAGTTAGATATTTGAAGTATAATAATAGTATTGATTCTAATGCAATTGTTTCAGTGTTAATTGTGTATGAAA